GGAATATTACTGCCTCAGCATTTGCCTAAGTAATACAAGGAAACCACAGAAAAACTTGGACCAAGGCAGACGGACCCGGAATCGAACCGGCATCCTCTCGAATGCTAAGCAATGGTCTAAACCTCTAGGCCATGCCGCTCGGTCCTAAAACTAGAACAACCCACATCCTTAACTATTTGCCCTCTACCTCTACCTCTACCCCTCCTAACTTCCGTTTCTGTCTCTAATATGTCTCTTCTTCATGCCTGAGAAAATGTCCTACCAACCTATCTCGCCTATTTCTTATTGACTTCCATAGAGCCCTCTGTTCTCTTATTTCTTCTAATACCTCTTCATTTCTAACATCTCTATCCACGGTATCTTCACCATTCGCCTCCAATACCACATTTCGAACGGTTCATGAGTACAATATTGTCTTTATTTTAATTCAAAGTTATTTTAAAGCTAGAAAATAAATATTTTTGAATTATTCATTATTATTTTACTTTCAGTTCGAGTGTATCTATAATTTACAAGGGTATTCATTTATTTATTTATTTGTGAACTTGCATCTATTCTTTTATTCATTTGTTTAATTTTGTACCTACCTGTACACTACTCTAACCGCAGTAATATGGGGTGAATGTGTGATAAACCACATTATCAGCATACAATTGCAAAAAACTGACTTTTATACAAATGTACCTGCATACAATATAAATTATTAAAACAGGAATTATTTTTCTGTTTTTTGGAACTTTTTGACTAGGTAAAACTAAAATTAACAAATATTTTCAGGTCATTCTAGCTACGACTTGACACATTTTCGTTAAAACTAGTCTTCACTAAAATAAATAGTCTAAATTATGGGCTTAGATCTAGATCGCGTACCGTGACCCTTATTGAACGACTTCACATTCTTTTTTTAATTGGTTTATTTATTTTTACCAACTTCTTTTTTGACTGTTATGTCTAGGAATATAAGGTTACGGTAGGAAAAGACAACACGAAGTGAGTGTCGTCGTTGGCGTGTCTTTTCTATTTTGTGATAGACAACCTGTGGCATCTCTTTTTTGACAACATTACAATTATTGGGAACATACCTACTATATGGAGCGACTTTAGGTTATCCTGATTCTGTCTAAATTGTATAATTAATATTAAATCGTTCTTCATCGTCTCTAATTCGTTAGTAAAAACTGATTTAAATAAAATGTATAGGTACCAGTTTATCAGACATTTCTAGTTTTACCTAGTCAAAACTAAAATTTGTCTAATGGGAATTGTTAAAACTAGTTTATCTTAGACATATCGCGATTTAATCGAAATTGGGTTTTTAAGGTTATCTATTGATTTGCAAATATCGCGTTAAAATCAGGTGCCTACTTAATTCCTTTTCGTTCACAAATTTCATTATCTGCTCATTCCAGATTGACTAGAACTACTGGGGTCAATTGAAAAGTCCCCGGCCTGACACATAGATGGCGGCACCAGAACTAACTCCATATGATTTTCAGTTAGTCCTAACCTTCAAAAGGCGCGTCTATAAATTTGACGCCTGTACGATCATTAGTTTGTGAATTATAGCATTTTTAGTGAAGCAACTTTTGTTATTGTGTAAAAAATGGATAAAAAGGAATTTCGCGTGTTGATAAAATATTGCTTTGGGAAAAAATACAGTTGAAGCAAAAACTTGGCTTGATAACGAATTTCAGGACACTGCCCCAGGAAAATCAACCATCAAGGATTGGTATGCTAAGTTTAGACGTGGTGAAATGAGCACCGAAGACGGTGAACGCAGTGGACGCCCAAAAGAGGCTGTTACGGACGAAAACATTAAAAAAATCCACAAAATGATTTTGAATGACCGTAAATTGAAATTGAATGAAATAGCAGACACTCTACAGATATCAACGGAACGTATACATCACATCATTCACGAATATTTGGGTATGAGAAAGCTCTGTGCAAAGTGGGTGCCGCGCGAGCTCACTTTTGACCAAAAACAACGACGAGTTGATGATTCAGAGCAGTGTTTGAAGATGATCACGCGTAATAAACCCGAGTTTTTGCGTCGATATGTGACAATGGATGAAACATGGCTCCATCATTTCACTCCGAAGTCCAATCGACAGTCATCGGAGTGGACTGCACACGATGAACCCGCTCCAAAGCGTGCAAAAACGCAACAGTCGGCTGGCAAGGTTATGGCGTCTGTATTTTGGGATGCGCGTGGAATAATTTTCATTGACTACCTTGAAAAAGGAAGGACCATCAACAGCGACTATTACATAGCGTTATTGGACCGTTTGAAGGACGAAATCGCCGAGAAACGACCGCATTTGCAGAAAAAGAAAGTCCTGCTTCACCAAGACAATGCACCGTCTCACAAGTCAGTGAAAACGATGGCAAAAATTCATGAATTGGGCTTCGAATTGCTTCCGCATCCACCGTATTCTCCAGATCTGGCCCCCAGCGACTACTTCCTGTTCTCAGATCTCAAAAGAATGCTCGTTGGGAAAAAATTTTCGTCGAATGAAGAGGTGATCGCCGAAACTGAGGCCTATTTTGAAGCAAAGGACAAATCGTACTACAAAAATGGTATCGAAAAGTTGGGGGATCGCTATAATCAGTGTATCACCCTTGAAAGGAATTATGTGGAATTTTTCAAAAAAAATGTGTTTTACTATTTTAGGCCGGGGACTTTTCAATTGACCTGTTATATCTCTACAGTAATTTGTAATTTATTTTTTCTTTTGCTTCCGTACGCTACGTAGTCTTTGGTATTAGCACAATTTTCATAAATGAAAACTAATTTTTTGAAAAACAATATAAAATTGGTATTTTGGATTAAGAATGAGATTCAATATCGACCCAAGAAAACTACCTATGTATGTAATTTGATTTTCAAATGAATATGGCATACATGCACTTTTTATCTTGTTACCAAACTTTATCAAAAACCTATAAGTCAGATGTTTTGATGAAAACGTTTAATTATTTTTAAAAATGTTCCATCATATAATATTATTTACCACTCACCGATAAAATGGGTGAAAGGTTACTTTTACACAAAAAACACCATCATGTGATGGAGATTCCGTAGTAAAGATAAAAACAATCACATGCTTTTGCTGTTATTACGGATGTGATGATAGATTCATTCAAAACAATAACAATCAACGGAATCTGTTTATGTCTGTATACAGGGTGTTCTACCTAAGGCGGTTTCGTCCATAACTCTGTTATAATACTTTCAATAAAAAAAAATGTTTTTATAAAAATGAACTGGAATCATGGTGTATGCACAGCAAATATTTTCAGTCATACAGGGTGCTTCATTTGTTTTAGCCGCTACCTTTTTTGCAATGGGCAAAATGTGTATGTTATTCAGGGTCGGTAGTACCGACAATATTTTTTCAAATGGAATCTATATTAAATGATACTATACATCGATGCGAAATTAAAAATCTTTTCTAACTGATATAAATATAGACCATTCCATTTGAAAAAAAGATTATTCGTTTTTTAAAATTGTCAAAAGTAGGTTTCGATATTTCAGACTTTTTATAAACTACACATTTTGCCCATACCAAATAAGATACGGTAACTCATGCTAAAATAAACTATATGAACGGCAGATTTTTAGCTTTTATTTTTTTAGATGCTATTTGCCTTATTCAGACAGCTGAAATCGTATTTTTTTGTTTAAAAACAGTTGAATATCTCAAAAACTACTACAGATAATGAAACTAATAATGAAACTAATAATGTAAAAATATGTAAGGTGTTCCATTTAAAACAATGAGGTTAGGTAGCGTCCAGAAGAGAAAATATTTTCTGTATATATGTTAACGGAAATGTGTGTAATCCGTCATTCTATACAATTCCTAAAAAATGTACAAATGTATATAATTTCTAAAAAATAAATTATATTAGACATTTCCTAGGAAATCTATACATTTCCTAAATAGCAATCGGAAATGTATTACATTCAAGATGTCAATGGGTACGTGGGGTTAGCGGAGCGAGGGGAGGGTATTACGTCATCCGATCAAGCGATTTATTGTATTCATAGATAACTGTGATTCTCAGTTTATAACGTGTTTTGTTAATTTTATTAACAGAAAGCATTAGTCTTATACATTTCCTAGTACAATATCGAAATTTCATACAATTCCTAGGAAATGTATACATTTGCCAGGATATGAGTGTATTAAAAAATCTTTGAAAAAGTATTTTATATATTCCCTAAATAGCCTCTGAATTGTATACAATTCCTAGATTTCATACATTTCCAGTAGCACATACATTATAAGATTGCAGACCCCTTTTAAGAACGTTTTTCTAATTAAAAGTACAATAACCGAGTTATGGACGGAACCGCCTTAGGTGAAACACCCTGTATACATATATACCAAAGGACTTCAACAATTTTTCTTCATGCCAGAAATACTATTACAGTTATACCTACACTGCAAATCCATGTGCGTGATTTAAGCATTCATTTGACGTGTAAAATCGTGCAGACAATTTTTAGGCTGTTAATACGTGTTAATTATTATTAATACACGGAAAGGGTGTAAATTGAACACATTTAATGCGTGTATTTTGAATACACGATGTATGAATTATATACATACTACATATTTACAATTTAATCTGATTCGTTTAAATATTTTTTTTTATCAAAATCCTCAGAATTTGTTGATGTAGACGTGTTTGTTGTAGAATGCGCTTACTTTTTACAAATAGACGAAATTTCAATTTGGTAAACATAATTATTCTTTTGTATTGGACATATGTAGGTAGATATCAGATCAACTTCAAACTCACACAGTTAAGGGTACACTTTCTGAACTTTATACATATACATATACAAAATATCTGATTTGCATAAACGTATAAACATATATATA